TTGAGCAGCTCCCTGAACTCGGCGTCGCGGAAGTTCGACGCGCCGACGGCCTTCACGGCGCCGGCGGCGTACGCGGCCTCCATCGCGCGCCACGAGTCGCGCCAGTCGCCCTCGACCCGTTTCTGCCAGCCCTTGCCGCAGAGGCCGTCCCAGCAGCTCGGGTAGTGCTGGAGGAAGACGTCGACGTAGCCGCCGAAGCGCGCCGCGGACGCGGCGATCTTCGCGGCCGCGGAGTTCGCGCCGTGGTCGCGCGGGTGCATCTTCGTCACGATCACGACGTCGCTCCGCGGCACGCCGCTCCGCGCGAGGCCCTCGGCGACGGCGGCCTCGTCGTACCACTCCGCGGCCTGGGCCGTGTCGAGGAGCCGCGCGCCGGCGCGCAGCGCCGCCTCGACGCTCGCCGCCGTCGCGCGGCCGGCGCAGCCGTAGCCCACGCGCGGTATCTCGACGCCGTTGGACAGCGTCACGTTGGGACTCGTGCAGATGTCTTCCGATGCCATCGCGGCGACGACGGCGCACGACGCGGCGAGCATGCGAGAGCCAGATGATGAGAGCCTGCACGGAGCCCCCATCGGATTTAGCCGCTAAAAAAAAAAAAAATCGCAAAATCGAAAGCCGGAGACGACATGGGTCGAGCCCTGGCGGCGCCGCCGTGAGCGTCGAGCGTCGTCGCGCAGTCCTCGCACGCGCCGCGCGCGCCGCCGCGGCGGGCGGCGCACAACCGCACCGATGGCGGCGTGCGCCGGCGCGTCCGGCGCCGGGCGGCCGCTGGTCATGATGGCCGTGCTCGGCGTGCTCTGGGGCGGCGCCTGCTTCGGGTTCAACGGCATCAAGCGCGTGCTGCTCATCGAGGGCCTCTTCCTCGACGCCTGCGACGGCGGCGAGGCGCGCTGCGGCGCCCAGCTCGACCGCCTCGACTTCGCGTGGACGTTCTCCTCGAGCATGCTCAACGTCTTCGCGATCGTCAACGGCTGCGCGATCGACGCGCTGGGCCTGCGGCGCGTCTGCTTCCTGAGCGGCGGCCTGCTGGGCCTCGGCGCGGTGTGCTTCGGCTTGGTCGTGACGCGCGCGCGGCTCGAGTACCTGCTCGCGTACGCGTACTTCGCGCTCGTCGAATCGGGCATGCTCCTGAGCTTCGGCGGCCTGTCGCTCCAGGGCGCGGAGGGGTCCGTCGCGCTCTGCGGCCGCGTCTTCGACGTCAAGGTCGTCGCGGCGCCGGTCATGGAGACGGCCTTCGCGCTCGGGACGCTCGTGTTCCCGCTGCTCGGGCTCGCGTACGACGCCGCGCCGTCCTGTGTGGAAATCAACCAGTGGAATGGACGCGTCCAGCAAAACTTCAAACCTCTCTATCTCGGTCAAATCGAAGTCGATTCGGCTGATTTTTGGACGAATCGATTGCTCTCGTC